CATCCAGCTTCGGCGTAATTACTGGAGCCTAGATGTTTTTAAATATCTTCGTCGAGATAAAACGCCTTTTTTTTCTGGAAAATCGATGTGGGATATTAGGTCGGAGAATAGGGACGTCGGCGACTTTGAAATTTTGTAATGTAAAAGGGAATCTCAGAGAGGAAAAATAGTTAGGTTTCTTTAGAAATTTTACCTGAAAGAAAGACACGCGAATTGAGGGGCTCGTAACAAAATTCTTGTCAATCTTTTGTTTCTGCAGGAAAGTACAGAAGTACTATGACATCTTTAAGGATCTTGAGAATCAATTAATTTTATTAAAAATAGAATGACATCTACTATATAATCTTACTTCCTAGACCACTAAAATCTGTTATAACAAAAATCGAAACATTTGACAAGGGTTCTTTTTGTTATGACCTCCTAGATTGCCAGTGTGATAAATATGTCGAATTTTTAAAAACGACAATGTACCCAGAGCAACCTAACAAGTAATGGAAAATAAGATACTATTAAGAACAAACTTCACGAGGAAATATTAATCGTCGGATTGGAATCTCGCAGTGGGGAAAAGAATCGCGCAAGGATTTCACAAGAATCGTCGAACAGGTGGAAAGAAAATGATGGTCATTTTACAAAACAAACGTGTTTATTTTCTCATGGTTCGTCGCATGAAATGGAAAGTGGCAATTAATTTAATAATCACGTAACATATCGTGGATACAATAATGCGTGATCCGATGAGCGTATTTACAATAATACAATACAATCAATTTTGAAGTCGCGAAGACCGCGAAGTTTTCTAGAGACGAGCTTTAAACGCGACCGGTATCTATCGTACTAAGCACGCCAATGAGCAATCCAGTCCTAAACGTCAAAATTAACACTGTTTTACAAGAAAATCAACAACACAATTACCTCCCGTAATATTTCTTGGTGTTCAAACATTCAACGGAATTTTCATCGAACTAAATGGCGGGAAGGTACGTACAAATAAATTTTATTATTAAGAAGAATGTTGGTTTATATAAAATCAAAGAAATATTATATATATATATATATGTAGTTCCTCATTGTCCTCCAACGTTCTATTCTTGTCAAATAAAATAAAAATATATTTCATTATCGTCATCGACTTAAGAAAACGGCGGATCGCTCATTGGCACTATTAGTCGCAAGTGCGCGCCTGGTTCGTCTCTTGGTGTGCTCGAAAAAGTGTGCGTGAGTATTTACAACGTTTGATATACACAGTATTTACAAAGAGGATTCTCTTTCACTTACAGACTAATAAGCGTTTGACGACCGTTGCTTTTAACCAAAAAGACAGTCGTGAATCTTAGGAACGAGGTCTCGCCAGAGACATCTGTCTTTTCTCTCATTTCTATCTATCAACTCTCTCTCTCTGTCTCTCACTCTCTTTCTTCCTTGTGCTCTGCCTAGTTTTATACTAGGTGGTATTTACTTTTTTTTCGTTTTATTCTCTTCATTCGCTTCGTTAAATCTCTCTCTCACACTCTCTTTCTATCACGAATTGACGAACGAACGACAGGAATGAGAACTAGGGAACGCTCCTCCGTTTCCCGGATCGAGAAAAATATATATACGATTAGTACGAAGGAGAGTTCATATACCGGGACACGGAGTTCACGCAGCAGCATATCATATTCTCGTCTTTTCTCGTGTTTCTTATCGGTGAAACACGGGTTACACACGTCGACACTCAGGGCTCGACTGTCCCCTGACCGCGGGCTCCGTCGGCGATCGAGTCGTAGGAAAAACAGAAAATTGGAGCCAGGAAAAGAAAACTTGAATCGCTGCTTAACGCGTGGACTGCTCGACCAACAGCTAATAAAGTTCCAAAAGAAAATATATTGTCGACGAAACGGAAAATACGTAGTACAAGCGACTATTGCGACAATGTTTTGTTCGTTTCGAGGTTTTCTTTCTTATCGAACATTCCAAGACGCTATTCGAATTTGATTCAATATATGACTGTATAGGCGGTTTGCAGTCTACGTGTTAAAATACACAGAAATCGCAAAAATAAAATTAATCTGCGAATAAATATATTAAACAGTAATATATTTATCGTTGAGGAATGTTAGGCTGTTGCATAGAAATTCGTGCAAGCGCGTATTCGTGCGATTGGAAGTCCGACTACACTTGTGTTTCTGTAGAATCAAGGAAATCGAAGAGAGACTATTAAACTGTTAGGGGAACGTCTTTTTAATATCGTGCACGAAACGTCGATAAAATTTCCAATTAATTAGAACGCTTTACGATCGAAAAAGTTATTGGGAAATGAGTAATCGAAGGAAGTTGTAAACGAACGTAAACATGGTGGCTGATGAAGCCTTTAGTAATGAATTTCACGCAATCAGTGTAGCCCCGTATATGTATAGTTCGTTTTAAATAGAGAAAACGAAATATCAGAGCCTTCTTCCTTGTTAAAGTATGTACACAAACTTCCGAGCAGCGACGTGTAATGAACTTCCAGAATTGAATAACGAAATAGCGAAATTACTGGTCTCGAGAAAATTAATTATTAGATCGCTCGAAACTCTGTGATTTCGCGAACATTCGTTCTACCAGCCGCCGATAATTAAACGCCATGAGAAGAAAATTAACCGAGAACATTTTTAACCAGTTATTCTTTAAAACTGAAAACAAAGGAATAGTGTACCTCGACTATGTAAAAAAAAAACATCTTTAAAACAATCGAAGGATCGTCCCGTTAATTCACCGCAAAAAAAAAACACCCGCGCATGAATTCAGAATTATGTACCCAATGGCTAATATCACATATTTTCTGAATAATCGAATTTCCTCCGGCGATGAAGCGATACGAAGAAGATCCTCCAATTATTTTCAGCCTCTATTACATAAACCGCCGACCCTCTAATTGCTACACGGCTTAATTGGAACGAAAAAAATGTTTGTAACAACCCCGCTAATAGCTCCGAATACGTATATGGCGCACCGTGTACCAAAAATGAAACTCCGAAACACAATTCGTGACCCGAACTACAAAACGAAAAACATTTTCTCTACAACTCTCACGGTAGGAGTACGTCCGTGTCTTTTGTCGGCCGTGGAACAAACGCAGAGAATATATACGTATATATGTATATATATTAATCAAGTCGCTGAAGTTTTATATATGTACAAACGTTGGAAAATTAATAATAATAGGGAGCACGCCATGTTTGCATCGTGAAATTCCATCGAGTTTCTCTCGTGACCGAGCGAAAAAATAAATAACGATACACCTGGCAAGAAAGCAAAACCGGCGGCCATTACGATCGATCGGTGGCGAATTTCACGGGGCGGCACACGGTCTCGCGTAAGGGTTATTTTTCAACCGGTGATCGAAACCCTCGAGCGTCACGCCGGGAGCCTCGTGACCGATATAAAAATTTTCGACAGTCGAGACACGAAGACACGCAACACACCCTAATTAGCACACGCGCTAGTTCGATGGATGGTGGTCACTGGTGTTTGCGTCAGCCCCTAACGAGCAACGAGAATAATTTCGAATGTATGCCCTCATTGTCTGCCATTTCCTAAAGTTATCCTCCGCTTTATAGATACAGAATATACATTACAATACAGAAGATCTGTGCAAGCAAAAATTCGCGTCGTCCTCTCGGGGCTAGTACGTAAAAATAATGACTCGATCACGGGCATCGCTCGGGGGTGTTCCTTCATCGGTGAACGTCGACAGTGGTAATCGAATTATTATTGGGATAACAGACAGATATGTTCAAACGGTAGATGAAACAGTGTATGCGCGCAGATTCCATTTTTCTGAATAATCTTTTCGACCGTCGTATTTCCGAATAATCTTTTCGACTATCGTTTCGCTGAAGAATCGTAGTAGATGCTTGTACATGAAGAAAATTTGTAAGTACTGTATCTTTCACATGCTATTAAAAATTCAATAACGTCAAGTACAGAGTACTTACTAATGGCGAAAAGCAATACTAGTTATGTAATGAATAGACTGCGAATTATATGCATTTCTAGCGTATACGATTGTGTAGAATTTAGTGCAGTCGGAAGTTCGATTAAGCTGAAGGAGGTTTATATTCTAATTGAACCCTAGTAGAGTAATGAATACACTAAATAAACTATTATCTGATTCCAATTTCTATAAATTCGACTATAAAAATCTATACTTGCACGAACATCCGCAGTCTAGTAATGAATAAAGCAGAACGAACGGTTGCTTATTAAACCCACCATTAACGGAGCCACGCCGACACACCTGTTTCTCTATAAAATACCCAGTGAATAATCTAAAGTTCACATGCATCGTTAACGTAATTTTCTGATCGCTTGTAATATCATGTTCCGAATAATTGTTCGATTGAACAATTACTTCGATACATGTTCAGTGATCGAACAATTCCTATCCATACACGTCGAGCAATTAAAAACCTGTTAAGCTCTTATTCGTGAATAATCGCAAATGATTTTCCAACAAACCTATAAACACACCGTGTCTGTTTCTCACCCGAAAAAATCTATCATCCCCTCGACGAAAGTGCACCCCGTTACGACGGAATCGGGTTCCACGTGAAAAACAATTAAATAAACCTGGTCTCTCTTTAAATCGATTTAACTCTAGACACTCACGCGTCGAAAGCCTCGGTGGCGGCGGTTCTCTCGACCATTCCCTCGGCGAGACGATACTTTTCCAATCTGCCACCCCCTGAAGAGTTGGCTGGCATTCCGCCGTCTCTCGAGAGGGTGGAAACGCGAGGGAAAGGTATATATGTATATCCTCCGGTTGACCGATTCTAGTGGAAGAGCAAACAGACGGTGGGTCGTTGCGCGCGCGTTCGGTCGGTTCCTTGCGGACGAAACTGTACAAATACCTACTACGCGCGTCCCTGTCGCGTCCTCGAGCGGATTCCCATGCCAGGGGCCATCGATGTCCCACCTCCTCTGACACGATAGACGGCGGATCGTCGGGCAACCAACGACACAGCCGGTCTGTACTAGACGAAGTAAGTACGAGGATTCGCCGGATGCGTGAGCACCTCGCCCGGTGGTGCTGTCGGTACCGGTGGTTCCGGTATGGTGCTGTAAAGATGGCTGCCCCTGGACGACAGACTGGCAGGTCGAGGCGCGTTACCAGCGTGCAACGCGCTGTAACCGCTGTGCTGGTGCTGATGCTGATGCTGATGTTCCGCCCCGCTGTCCTCGTCCTCGGTCCTGCTGGACGCCGAGCTGACATAGGTGGACTGCGTGGGCGTCGGTGTGGGCGCGTGCACCGGTGCGACCAAAACGCCATTAGGCTTGGTCCACACGTCCCCCGCGGATGGTGCAGCCGTGTAACGGGCCGGCGTACGATTTCGGTCGTTCACCTTCTTGCTGTCCCGTCGTTTGCCCACGGAGTCCGGCATCGCGAACCGTAGCTTCTCCCAGAACCTCTTCTCGCCCCACATCACGACCGTGCAAGTTTGAAGTAACAGCTGTAGCTCGGGATCACGAGCCGGTGCCTCGGTAGCCAGGAGGATCACCACTCGCCTCTTCCTGGAGCTGGGCCTGATGTTCTCCAGTGCAGTTCTTAATGCTGCACGGAACTCCGCGTGCTGCCACTCGTTCGCCAGGAACACCGGTGAAAAGATGATCACGATTCGTCTAGCGGCTGCTGCTGCCGGTGGGACCGCTTCTTGGGGCCTGGCAGGCGGTAAGTCCCTCCAGTGAAGACACAATGCTAGCCCAGATTGCTCCAATTCAGCTGCCAGGAACCTGGTGACAAAGTCCTCGTCCCGTTCGCTGTAGACTATGTAACCGTCGTACAAACGATCCCTCTCCTCGTCCGGCGGCGTGGTCATCTTTCCCAGCCGAAGACCATAGCGCGCGTGTGCCCAGAGACGAACGTCCTGACGGAACGCGAAGGCCAACGCGACGAACAGACAGATCGCGATCACAGCCACCAAGGCGCCGGCTAAAAGCGGCACAAAGTTACCACCTAGAAGAGGTATCTCTTGGATTCCACGACTGACGGCCTCCGTGGACGGATCGCCGCAACGCCTCATAGCCTGCGCCAGCGTCTCGACGCCGTCGCGGCAGTACATCTTTTCGGGATCCCCCTTGTGCTCTGCCAGCCATCCCCGTAATTTCGCGGCGTTGCTACACTCGCAGCTCCACGCGTTACCCTCCAACGCGACTTTCGCCTTGTCCCCGACACTAGGCAACGCCTCCCACGGACGGAAGTCGACGATACGATTGCTGTCCAACCGCAACACCTCGAGCTCCTTCATTTTACGGAAGGTCGTGTTCCCAACAGTAGCGATCGCGTTGTGATCGAGGTACAATTCCGACATACGTTCCAGCTGATCGAACTCGAAGCCCCTCAATTCCCTGAGAGCGTTGTCCTCGAGATGAAGGACGCGTAACGCACCGACACCGTTGAACGTGCAATTGTGTATAGCCGCGATACCGCTGTTGTTCAAATACAACACCTCCAAACGACGTTTACCGATGAACACGTGGCTGCCCAGATCGCCAAGATCATTCCCGTCCAGATAGATCTCAGTCGCATCCATGGGTATACGTTCGGGTACGTGTTTGTAGCCGGCGTTCGAGCAGTCGACCACGTTGCTCGACCAGCTGTGGTCGTGATAACAGGAACAATTGCTCGGGCAGGTCATCTCGCAGTCGCACGCGTCGAAGTCGCAACAATGGCACAAAGCGAAACAATGCGCGTCGTATCGGCACAGGAAGTCTTTCGGTTTCAGCGTTAGCAGAGGTCTTTTCGGTGTTGCTCGTGCGTGCACCATGTCGCAGGTGACAGAGTCGAGGTCCATCACGCGTGGATGTTGTCGTAAACGGGACATTTCATTGATCCGCGGTAACCATTCCATTGTGCAGTCGCATAGAATCGGATTGTTACCGATGTAGAATTCCGGCAGCTCGACGTCCTCCGGCACCGTTTCCAACGCAAGGGCGGCTACCTCGAGATTCCTTATCTCGTTCCCGTACAACACCACTTTCTCCAGGCTCTTCTTCGCCAGGAACGCACCCGCGGCGACCTGGCGGATCTTGTTGTTGTTCAGAAACAACGTTTCCACGCTGTCCGGCACGTTCGCGTCCGCGATCTCGGCGATCTGATTGAAGCTCGCGTCCAGCATCTTTATACGCAACGTGTTCTGCACCATGTAATAATTCCCGAGCTCGCTTATCTGATTAGCGTGAATGTCCAGCCATTCTATGCTGCCTGGAAGATGACTGTAGTCGAACCACAGAAGCTTGTTGTCCGAGACGTTCAGCCAGACCAGGGTCGAGAGGCTGGTGAACGCGCCTCGGATTTCGGTCAGCTGATTCCCGTCCAAACGGATCGCGCGGAGCACCGGATTGCTCGCGAACGCGCTTTGCTCCACGTGACGGATGTAATTGTTCGCGAGATTCAACACTTGGAGGGCGGGCAACGTGGCGAACGCCTCGCGGGACACGTTCTCCAGTTTGTTGTCCACCAGTCGGAGACCGTAGAGTTCCGTAAGACCAGCGAACGAGTCGTTCTCGATTCTGGATACGTGGTTGTTGCCAAGGTCGAGGGTCTTCAGCGATCGTAACACACGAACGGCGTACGGCACCTCCGTCAGATAGTTTCCGCTCAGAGAAAGGTCCTGCAGGTCGGTCAGATTGTCGAACACACGATGGGGCAGGGTTCGTAATTTATTCGTGTCCAGGAACAGCTGACCGAGGGTGGTCAAACCGATCGTGTGACCGGGATCGAATCTGGCGATCCTATTGTGGGACAGCGTCAACGAGTGCAGATTCGTCAGGGAACCGAAACAACCGTCCATCAACGTCTCGATGTTGTTGTGCTCGAGCTTCAGGATCTGAAGGCTGTACAGTCCCTTGAACACGTGGGCGTCGATTCTCGTCAGACCGTTGAAAGACAGGTCCAGAATGACGAGTCGGACCAGTCTGGAGAACGTGTCGCGATTTACCCAACGATTCGTCAGTTCGTTGCTGCTCAAGTCCAGAACCTGTAGCTCGTCCAGATTGTCCAACAGGCCGGGCGCCAGCACCGTCAACGAGTTATTGCTGAGCATCAATTCCCTTAATTCCTTGGTTTTCGAGAACAGCTCCGGCGGCAACGCGACCAATCGGTTGCTGGACATGTTCAGCGATCGAAGCGCGGTCAGACCGGCCAGAGCGTGATCACCCACGGCGGCGATCACGTTCTCTTGCAGCTTCAGCACCGTTAGCGTCCGTAGATTGCTCAGCGTACGATCCGGCAACGCGCTGAGATCGTTGCTGCTCAGATCCAACACGTCCAAGCTAGGCGTGCACGATTCGGCCCAGTCGGAGAAACCCAGCGCGACGATGTCCTGTAACTTGTTGCGCGTCAGATTCAGGTTGGAGAGACCCCGTACCGGGCACAGCAGCTCCGACGGCAGGGTCCAGAGGTTGTTATCCGCGAGATCGAGATGTTGCAGACTGGCCAAACCGCGCAGGGAGTCTCTGTGCAGCTCTAAAGTCATTGTTGACCAATCCCCGTTGTGCGTCCTGACCGACAAACTTCGTAGATTGGGGGCAGCCGTGAAAACACCGCCTGGTAGATAGCGGATCTTGCAATAATCCACACGGAGCTTTTCCAGCCGTGGCAACGGCGACAGAAATCCATGTGGGCCCTCGATCTGGCTCTCGAAGAACAGCACGTCACTGCACTCCAAGGCCAAAGAACTGATCGAGTCCACTTGAATGGCCGAGAGATTGCCAATTAGACCGGGCACGTTGGCGATAGTTCGTACCCTACACGCGAGCGACTTCTCCCCGTCGTCGCCGTCCTTCTTCCACTCGCAGCCGTTCGGCGCCTCGAGACTGGTGATGCTACGGCCGTGTATCAAGCCACCGTTCAGAACCAACAGACACCAGACGATCCTCGGCAGCACGTTTACGGAGCAGCGTGACGCCTCCATTCTGAGTATCGTCGCTCGGAGAAGTCACGTTCCTCCCTGAATAGTGGCTTCGATATGATCGTGGGGGAAGCTGACTAGGGGGGAGGGACAGGGAGGATCACCAAAGTCGTACCGTCACGCACTCATCACTCACTGTGTGGCACTCGGTTCGAAAACCGTACACGAGGTATACCCGTTTCACAAACGACGCTCGTCTCGAATAAAAAAAACAAAAAAACACACCCCTCCGGTTGAAATTATAAACGTCGACGGGTGGTATTATTTATGCACTGTACACTAAAAACAGCGACGATCGCTCGTTCGACGATGTCCGTTCGACGTACAAACACTGATGATCGGTCATAACCACCGAAGGCCCGAGCGCGACACACAAAACGACCGTTTCGAAACAGGAGTATCTCTCTCTCCTCGTGAGAACGTACTTGGCGCGCGGTTAACGGACAAGTCGGTGAGAGGACGAAACGCGACGTCGTTCCACCACGAACGCCGGAAAGCAACTGACTCGAACCACCCGATCCCTGTTCTATCGACGGTCACGCACCCTGCATGACTGCCGGCGTGCAGCTAGCTATCCCCACTACTTTCCCCCACCCGCAGGACAATTCTACCACCACTCTCCCCTGTTAGGATGCATCCGTTCTCCGTACAGACGAAATTCCCTCGTTGAATGTATATGCAGCGGGTATGCTCGGATATTGGAGAGGGGAGAGATAGAGAGGAAGGGACAGACTCGTGGAACCGGCGAGCGCGAAGCGTGCGACATAAGCCAACGTTCCACGCCACAGGCGGCTCGCGAAGATGCAACAAACCAGCTGACTGACAACACTACTTACTAGGTAAACACCAAACTGGTTCCCTAGGCGTACGGACGCGCGCATTTATCACAAGCGGCTTGGTCTCTCTCCCCCGTAACCCCGAGGAGGGTTCTCACTCCCCCCACCATCGACCGGTTTCTTGCCTTCCCTGTATAGAAGGCTGATTCTTCGTCGGGGTAAGTTGTGCCCGGTTTAATAGCCGACGAACAGTGGCTCGTCGCGCGCCTCGACAAAAGAACGTTTTCAAACATACAACCCCTGTCATTTGTTCTCTTCTTGTACCCTCCCCTGCCCCAATTCTGGGGCCCGATTTGCTCGCGAATAATTATTGTATCTCATTAACAGTTTAAAGCTCAAAATGACGTCCTCGCGATACTGTAGCTTTTCACTATGTAGGTATTATTCGAATAAAATTCTACCCAACTCTAGGTGAGGGAGTATTCATAGTTACTCTAGATGCATGGGGTAATTTAGTCGTCGAGTCACCAGTTGAAGGATAGGCAAAATTAAATATCATAGTTACTAAACAATTATATTTGAATAATAACATCTAATTATAGCTACTACTGTAAAAGATCCTCAACATCAAGCCAAGGGTGGTTAGGAAGTATCGCAAGACAATTGGCGCCATCTACTCTGGGGATGTCGAACTACATGTCACCGATTCGAAGAAAGAACATTCTGAGAAACAGTACTTTCGCAATAGAAGACTGAATACAATCGGCAGACACTGTACAATTATTATTATTCCACGGTAAACGTTGCCTGTACATCGGGAACAAAAGGGGAAATGGTCTTCGCCGCGTTTAATTCAACCGGACGATTACTCATCCGTCACACGTAAGATGATGAATCATGCGAAGTGTGCCAGGGTATGTACGAGCGTACTTATATGTGGGATTGTAAATTCGAAGCCGTGGCCACAATGACGAATGACGGAGTTCATGGATTTGGGCGCGCACGCTTGGTATACATATATCCGCACTTCATTACGCATTTACGAGTTGTCAAGGTGATATCAGTGCCTCGTCCTTCCTGGTCAAAGATTAACCATCCACGCGCACCAATTGGAATACTTGATCAGCTTGACTAAACATTCGACGGATTAACCGCCGGGCATATTCGTACCGCCTGAAACTTGCATCTCTCTTAATTAACGTATTGATTACCGTGTCAACAGTGTGTTCGTTGACAGTGCTTTTTCCCGTGGACTCACGAATGGTATAATCTTTATAGCAAGACAATCAGATAAATCGGAGGAATTCTTTCCAAAAGGCAACGAACGTGTACATGTTCCCTCGTAAACTTTCGCATAGGTTTCCATTTCATTAAATGAAACGAACACGACATAATTCTGTCAAAGTTTTTATGGGTATACCGGTCCGACAGTCATTCTATTACAGATTCAAAAATATTTCATTGCAGAAGAAGGATGTACAACGCGCAGACCGAATACACTTGGATAACAATTAATCGCGAACTCTAATCTATCGAATCGGAATATTCAATTCATTTTATTTTTTTCACTCGATCATAAAATTTCTCAATATATCCACAAGAATTCAAAATACAAAAACGACGTAGGCGGTCAACGATCTCGTGACCTCAGGCGTTTATATAATTCCAGAATCTCAAAACACGTCGACCGAACGAAATTTGGTCCATTATTCTATTTTCAAATTTGATTCGCCGATTAAAACACCTGACCGATTACGTAATCCGTAAATGTTTCACGATCGCGAGATTCTATTTCGCTAAGTCAATGGGGGTTTCACCGACTGAAGCGTTGGGAAGACTGTTTAACAGGTTGATTTTATCAACGCTTCCCGAGGAACGATCGGTTACAGGTGGTCCAGCCAGTAGTGTACAGTTTCGTTCGGTTTACAAGCCACGGAACAGGTCGTGTGGCACACTTTTCTCCTCTTGTAACATCGCCGGATCGTACGACGATATCCTTTCCTCGACAATGAGCGTTATTAAATCGGGGGGGGGGGGGGGGGGAAGAAGAAGATCCGATTCAAAAGCTAGCCCGCCCATTCCTTATAACGGGAGGGAATATATTCCACGCGGTAAATCATTACTCGTTATGGCGGTTGGATACGAGGTGCAGTGCTAGGGAGCCTCGTTACGAACAGTTAACAGGGCGCGGCCGCGACACGGACCCACGAACACATCCGTAGAAACACAACCATTCTTTCTGGTTACCCACGGAAATTCGTTTCGTTGGGCAACGTTAATTCAATTCAATTTCGAACGAACCTATCCAGTTGGCGATGCGCGTCTCGGACGTCGTTTGGGTCTGATACCTTGTAGAATCGACAGAATTATGGTGCCTTAGTTCAATGGAATGTTCCATTTTGGTCGATCTATAGAGATATTATTGAAATCAGTAACAGACACTACGCGGTGTGTGATCTTGTGCTTGGAATTTTCGAAGAAAGTCAGGTTGTCTGCGGATACGTGTTATGGATTCAAGGTAAATACAGGTAACCGTGGAATATATTAACCTTCTTAATGTCTGGCTGTAATTCATACACAACAGTCTCAGGACATCCGAATGATTTAAATAGTTTCGTTGGGAAAAGGAAATTTGAAATTACCATTACAATACAGTCCTTATATCGATGCTTCAATAGAGCCTCTTTCTTTTTAGTCGAGTATCATTTTGGAAAGCATAGGAATGCAGGGATGAATTATAACAAACCTATTTGTTCTTTCGTTACGCCGTTAGTCGGATATTGTTAAAATTTTAATCTGAACAATTTTTCTTTTCCTTTCTATAGAACCATACAATTTCTCAGACTTTTTCAGTCACCTTAAACTGCAGAACCTTTCTTTCATTCCTCCTTTCGCACCACGACGGATGAGGACTGAAGCGGAAGGGCCATGTACGCGCCACACCAGACGCAATATCACGTGAATGTGCCTACACAACAAGCCCAGAATCTTCAAAATACCCGGATGTTTCACCGGTGGAATTTATTCGAAGTTAAAGAGGAGCCGTGTGAACTTCGTCTAATAATGTTTGAAGTATTATTTTATTATAAAAATTACCACGTTTAATTAATTTTTTTATCTTTCATTCGTTATTCGAAGCTGTTTATCTAGGTAATGAATTTGCCCATCTCTGGTCCCATCCAGATCTACTCAGCGACCACTGGTAGGTGGTTAGCCTTCACCATCGGAAACCTATAGTGTATACGAACGGTTTTCGTCCACGGAAGTCGTCCATCGGCCATTCCGTGAGACCATTCCCTTCGGCCCTCTCATAAGGATTTCCGTCTCACGAGCCGACGGAATCGATCGATCAGACGCGGATGGGAGCAGTGGACGACGACGAGCAGACGCTGTCTGCACTTTCACTCGGCCGGGTCACCCGTGGGGGGTTAACGACGAAAACTGTATCGTGTCATGATGCTCGGGGGGACATTAGCATATAACCCGATGGTATCCGATGGAAAGTACCCCGCTCGTCACGCTCCCGGTTCTATAGAGGGCTTTTTAGCGGTCTTGGTCGGAAAACGTGGTTGTTGGATAATTAATGGCTTATCGGTGGAATAATGACGCTAGTGTCGTAACTTTCACGGGTGTGTATGTGTGTTTTTTCTTTAATCTTGCAATTTGGGGTTTTGTTGACAAATTGTTTTGTTGTTTATTGTTGTTAATATTTGATATATGCGTCGGTGATTATGAAAGTGGTTGCAAGTCACGTACCTATTTTTCGTTTCGAAAATTCTTTCATGAGATTGAAACATAAGTCAACATAAAATAAGATAAATACCGACCACGCTAATGAATCTCCAATAACTGAAAGAAGAAAGTAAATTGAAATGAACATGACAAAATTGAATTTATTCAAACGCTGTAAACCATAAACACGCCAATACAAAAGATCCCCTTTCCTCCAGCTACCTTAGACGAGCAACGACGTACGACAACAAAAACGTCGAATTTCCATTACCGAAACAACAACATCAAGAATATCACAGCACCATCAAAACTGCCTCAGGTAAATACAATTCCCAACATCAAAGAACAATATTCTTCCCCGACATCGTCCCAACAGATATCGAGAGCCTCCTGGATAGGTCCTGGCAGTCGCATCCAGACAGAGCAACGGCGTCAACGGCCACTCCGAAATCATATCTCCGACGGGAATCCATTTCGATGCCGGGGGCAGAGCGG